GTCTCTCCAGCCACAGCCTCAAGGCCACGGGCCTGACGTGGGCCGCGTCGGCCGGTGTCGCCATAGACACGCGGCGCTTGTTAGCACACCATGTGCATGACAGTGCGCGTAGCACGGAGACCTACAGCCGAGACGTTCTCGCGCCGGCAGCGCGCATTTTCGAGGAAGTCCTCCTCGCCATCCGTGATGGCGACTTCGTTCCTGACAACCCGCGCGGGAGTCAAATCAGGACTAGACAAGCGTGTTTTGGCCTTCAACAAACCAGATCCAGTCGTGCCGGAGGGAGCTCTGCGTCGGAGTTCGAATGTTCCTCCCGACCTGGACAACGAGGTCTCAGCAGCTGCGTCGGCCGAGCAGCCGGCGCCCGAGCACATGACTGATACCACAGATAGCGAGTCGGACCGACTCAGTGAGGAGGACATGCCGACAGATCCCCTTTGCCCGGGAACCGTGCTCGCCGCGAGGCAGTGGCAGCTCTGCCACCGTGGTGCCAGTCCTTTATGCACGCTGTCAGTGGCTGCCTCCACGTTCAAGGGGTCAAGATGCGGAATCGTCTTCTTTGTGGGCGGACGTTGTCTGACAGGTACGTTACCAGCGACGTTGTTGAACTCGAAGAGGGTCGTCCCCATTGCAAGCAGTGCTGGACCCACTCAAGCTTGCAGGACTAGAGGAAAAAGGAGGCTTTTTGACCTAGTCCCGGGACCCTCCTCTCCCCCTTTGAAATCTTGTACGTGTCCCCTTCCCCTGTCAGGCCATGGTTTCCCTCGTTGACAGCAAGGCCGAATTTAAAAGCAGAGCCGAGGACTTGCTCGGGAGCGACCCTTTCAAAAATCTGGTGAAGGAGAACGTGGAGTCCTTTGCCGCCCTTGCGTTCTCTGTGGCCGATCAGCCCAACCATATTGACGATAGCAAGCTGGAAGATCTGGCGAAAAAGATCTTTCCGGCGCCCGGGCCCACGTTGGGCCACGCAGGAGCTTTGCGACGTCTCGCCTTTGAAGGCTTGGCCTTCAGCCTGCAGGATTTGAAGGATCGGGGCGACCCCGAGGCGTCCAGCAAGAAGTACTTGCCCAGCCACGAGAGAGAACACAAGAGGAAAGAGCAAGTTGCTCGCCTCACTGGGGTCCTCCTGGAAGGTGACTTGGAGCCTTCTAACGGTCTCGTAGACCGCGCGGCGGCTATGTTGCACGACGGCCTCGTGCGTTACATTCCGCCGTCCGCGTGCGTGAGTCGCGACGCAGAGGTCGCCGCCGTGCGGCGGGACAAGGAGTTCTTTGCCATCGAGAATGGCGAGCTTACCCTGAAGAAGAAGGACAATGTGTTCAATGCGGACGTGGCAACCGACTTCAAGCTGCAGCAGGCTTTCACCAGGAGAGGTGTGGCCCTAGACCGCGTCGGTCTGGTCTCCTTCAACGTGCACGAGCGTCTCGTGCGAAACTACTTCTTCCTGGCGAGCCGGGCCGCCCCGCCTGGCTACGCCAAGCCCGGTGTAGGCGCAATTATCAAGGCCGACAAAGAGCTCTGGACGCTGTTGTCCCGAGAGTGTCGTGACGGGTGCATGCCCAATGCAGCAGGCGTGGCTCCTTTGGACGCCCTAATTGCAGCCAAGCAGAACGATACGTGCGTCACGTTTAGCCTCTTCCCCCTGCCACAGGCAGATGGCCGGGGCCGCGAGTGGACGAAGGGCAGAGGCGCTGGCAAAGGAGGGAAGGGCCGTGACCCCAAAGGATCTGGCAGGAGTCGCACCCCCAAAGGCCGGGGCAGGGGGAGGGGGAAAGGGAAGCCTTCCGCTGCAAGCAAGGGCAATCGGCGAGGCAGTTGGTGAGCCGTTTTGTCCACTTGCCTGTCGGAGAGCAACCAGCGCTGCGAACATAAAGTTAGCGCCTTGCAGTGCAAGCGCAAAAGGAAAGAGAAGGGACCCAGAAGGATCAAGGAGTGGCAATGAGAGCTTAGTCTCACGCCACCAACGAAGTGTGTTTGCCCAATGACCTCGGTGCGGGGAAAGAACGACAGACCCCAGGACGTTGCGCGGCCTCACATGGACCTGCTGCGACTGAGCCGACAAGGAACAGCCTAGAGGGACGGGACGCTTCCTCTCAGAAGAGCCAAAGTGTGAAGCGCCAAAGACCGACAGGCAACGACAGACCCCAGGACGTTGCGCAGCCTCACATGGACCCGCTGCGACTCCCCATCTCGCTATTTCCTGCTCTTCCAGGCACCCTCCCAGTAGCCTCAAGATGAGGAGTCGGATGACTGCCGCCATGTCCTCCAAGAGTTGGAATGGGTCGGCTTGCCCATATGCTTCCGATCAGATGCCGGCTTCGTCCTGTAGCCGCAAGCAAGGAGAAGTGCCCTCTTCTGATGAGGGGCTGTGGCGTGATGCAACGCCAAACGTTGCTTCTGCGAAGCACTGGATGTGCCCTTCCTGAGTCGAGATCTGGCTCGAGATCTCTTCTTTCTCAACGCACGGTGCCAAGGAGGACTGGATGGCGGCGTGTCTAGGCTCTACGCACCTCAAGGTGCTGGGGAAATGGCAATACGGGCGCTGTCGCCTCGTTCGATCCAAAACCCTCCAGTAAGCGACATTCAGGTTGACTGTTCACATACAAAACGGACCAAGCCCCTTTGAGCACAATTGTAATTTTTATCACCTCTTGCGTTGTTTAACAACTCCACGCCTAAGCATTTATTCTAACTGTCAGTTTCGTCACTTCGGTTTTTGTCACCTTCAACCACGTTATAAGGTGCGGCCACACTCCCAAAAAACAACTGCTGAGTCCACCGAGCCGTGGCGAGTCGGGGACCTCGTAATGCGAAGTGCGCGTTCAGTTTTTTGCCAAATAGACTTCCGGACATTCGCTCGCTGTGATAGGGGAGGATGCGGGCTTCCTGCGTTAAGCAGTTGAAGTTGGAGCAGGCGTTGCTTGGCTTGCGTGAACCATTCTTAACAGTTCGGAGTCCTACCCGCGTGCGCTCATCGTGGAAAAACAGTCCGAACATCCAAGAGTTTGTCATTGAGGACGTTTGGATGAATTATTTCAAGTCATGAGAAGCCGATTCTATATGGCAAGGAAATAAGAGGCATTGTCAAACTTGACGAAGTTTTTTTTGCTGCAGCCAACATGAAATGATCTGAGTGTCCAAGATCTCACGCATTGCAAGTTTGAACATGAGTTTCAACTGCATTTCCGGCTCGTTACAGTCAGACAAATCAGTTTTTGCCCACCCACCCGCACTGGGGGAGGACGCGGGCTCTCGAGCGTCATGCGATCCCTCCTCCTTTAAGCAGTTGAAGTTGGAGCAGGCGTTGCTTGGAGTCCGACCCTCCGTGCTCTGGAAATACTATTTTAGACTAGTTTAGCACGAACTTGTGCGATCGTTTGCAACAAAGTTCGCAGAAAGGATTGCAGCTTTTGGGCCGGCAACGTATAGGTCCAGAACGGACACAAGAACGTTAAATGTTACAGGGTGCACGCAAACAGCGTCCCATAAACAGCCCCACACCGATACACCGCACCGGTACACCGGTACACCGGTCCGACCCTGCGCCCCGTCCGGCGAAACGGCGTATCGGCGTATCGGCGTAATGGCGTAACAATGCACCGATACTCCCTTCAAGTTTCTTGCAATCCCTGGTATGCTGCCCTGGGGCCCAGTACATCTGCGCACCCGGGCCCCGGACGGCGCACGCCTGCGCCGACCTTCCGCTGCGCCGATCAGCGCATGCCCGCACCGATACACCGTTATACCGGTATGCCCCCCCCCCCCCCACGACCCCGGACGGCGCACGCCCGCACCGATACACCGATACACCCGTAACGGCGCACCGGCGTAGCGGCGCATCGGCGAATTCCCATCTGCGGGCCTCGGAGTGGCGTACAAGTCGGGGGGGGGGGGTACCAGCGTACCGGCGTATAAGCGCACGGCGGTTTGAGGACACTATTTGCATGCACGCTGGTGAATTGCAGCGAACCTTTGCTGCTCAGATATTGGGTCCCTGCTGAAGGGAGAACTCTAATGTTTTTTCCAAGCCGAAAAGCCGGACCTTTGCTTTTTCCCTGCGCAGGTAGATCTTGCTTGGCTCCGCCCAAGGCAAACTTTCACAGTTGTTTTCAGTTTTTTCATACTGGAATTCTGTTGCCGGCCGAAAATAGTCATTTCTTCGAGCAACTTTCGTGGCATTGGTTCACAAACGTCGGTTATACTGTAATACTTTAAGGTTTTTGCTTTCCATTCTTCCATTTCCCGAATTTGTTGGCGGCCCAGGGAAGGTTCATCTTTTCCCACAAACTTTCGGTATTGATTTGTTTTGACAGCGAGTCACACCGTCACACATGCACATCGTGCACAACGCGTGGAATCAACAGAACCCTGAAGCACCAAAATCACACAGCAACTGGCAAAACGGCTGACCTGTGGGGGCCTTCTGTCATGTACCATTGAGTTTTTCTGTGCTTGTTCACAATCCACAAGGCAGTCCAAGTTGCTGATTTTGGGTGACAAAGCTCCGGATCTGGCTTGTGGCCGGAACCCTGCAAGAAAGGTGACTGGCGACTTCTGGAACCTAAGCCCGAAACGAACCTGCGGTTTGACAAGGTCAGCAAAGAAGCCATAGGGCACACAACGTCCAAACGTTATGTCATTTGTGCAAATCGCAAACCCCTCTGCCACGGTGTGACATGGGGGTGGGAGCATCGTTTGATTGTCGTGGCGTGCAATGTTTTTCCATCATGTTTGGATGGCCAAAGCGTGGGCATGCAAAAATTGGAGCAGCAGCTGGACGAATTGTTTATGCATGTGCGGTGTGCGGCTTTGTATTGTTTGTGTTCAGCACAACAATGCCGTAACAATGCCATGTTCAGCACGTGCCTTGCCCATGTAGAACTCTTCGGTAGCTGGCATGTCTCACAGCATCCAAAGAATATATTTTACTAGTTTACTACCCAAGAATGAGCTGGTGAAAGCGGCTTTTGCGGCGTGCTGTTGCCAACACTCCAAAAAAGATGGGAAATGGAACTTCGGCATCGTCCGGTGGCCAGGCAGGTTTGCAGTTGTTGTGCGTAAAGTGGGCAGTCCGTGCCAAACAACGAACTTGTCACATGCATCATCGTCTAAAATTTGACCGTAACTGCCCAAACAGTGCATTCCATCACAAACGCCTCAACAGAGAGAAACAATCTGCAAAGTTTAGGTGGCTTTTCGGATCATCAAGCTGTAAGGGGTACAGCAGCGACGTTGTGGTTAAGAGGCTTCGACGAGCTGCATGCGCTGCAGATCAGAATCTCAGGTGGATGGTTTTACCTCGTACAACGTTGTGTGGAATCCATTCGCTTGGACAGGTTCCTCGCTGTTTTCGAAGCGTGAAGTGCCCGTACCCGACGGTGCGGTATATGAGTGGTATATGTTTGTCACACCCAGTAGCCATGAGCGTTTGTCAAGCCATAATTGCTTGAAGGCATCTACAGCCCATTGCAGATATGGTGCTGTGAATTATTCCTTGATTGGGCCACAAAATGGACAGGCACGGGTGGTGCTCAACCCGGATCATCTTCGCACAATGTGTGTTGCTTGCTGCATGCTAGGTTGTGGTGTGCTTCCATGGTCTGAATGGTTCTCGATTGCTGTTTCAGGCGCATGAGTGTCACCATGTGCAAAATTTTCCATTCATCACACCAGAAACGCAAAACGTGAAGGACACTGCCTTGTATCTTTCACGATCTGGTGGGTTCCGTGTCTTGACCTTTGTGACTTGGATGTACCTGGTTGCATCGTGTTTAGTTGCTTTGGCGCTTGGTCGCCCGCCAGGATTTGTATGGACACGGCTTGAGCAATGCGCCGCCCGTAGATGCTCGATTTAACATGGCAGCTTCGCAATGTCCGGTGCTTCCCGGGCACCAAGTCTGATTGGTGTTATTTTGTTGGCGTTGAATTAAATCTGTCAACCAAGGATTTATGCCCTCGGCGGTCTTGCTCATCCTGTTGTAGACCGGGCTGCTTATCCTGCAGTGGCGCAAGAGCCAGGCAGCTGGCTTAGTTTGGCTTGTATCCGTTCTTGCACGTTACTTGTCCTTTCATGACATTTTCTTGGTATGTCTGGAACCTTTCACAACCGCTTGGATACACAAAACAACCCAATGGCCAAAACTTCAAAACCTGTCAAAGAAGGTTAAGGACCTTATTCAGGGACCATGTAGCTACTCTTTGACATTTGGAGCGAACCAAATTTCGACATGAACTGGTACCGGTACCCGTTCAGCTGTTTTACAAACATGGCATTAGATTCTATCTTTTTTGTCAGACATTTCGGAGGTTTTGCCGGAACCGGTCAAAACGGGAGTGCTTCCATGTGCCTTTGCAATCTGGAGGCTGGCAGAAACCGCTGTACATGGTATGACCAAACAACTCATGATTTTTTTCTCAACAAGTCCTCTAAAGTGCCGGCTTGATTTCTGGGTGGTACCAATACCTTTGGGGTCTTTCTCTCTGCGTGAGCAAGCCTCCTGTGCACGGGGGGATGCCCGATTGGGTACTGCAGTCGCACGCACCCTCACTGCCGATGTCCAGTGCACTTGTGTGACACGCATGTCACTGCTAATTTCTTTTTGATTTTTTGCCGTAAGTGTGCCGGTATTGGAGCCACGAACCAACGTGCGCGCCAGTGAAGCGCATGTCTTAAAGGTATGTGTACTAGTCACTCCTTTCTCCACCACTTCGTTGCGGAGCCTGCAGGGAACTGCACGAGCACAGTTTCCACTTGCCGCCCTAGGAACCTTGCGAGAACCCCCGTGCCCACCGCAAGATGTCGCCAGTGAGGAGGAGCGGGGCCGAACGCGCCGCATCCCAAGTTGCTGACGACAACGTCGCTGCCCGGCGTTTGCGACGAGCTTCGCAATGCTTGACCCGCCCTGCCGAGCCGTCAGTCCCTATAGTTTGGCCTGTGTGCTCACTTCGTTGCCTGCATACTCCTACATGGAAGAGCTGCCCCTACCGTCGTCCTGTTCCTGTATGTGTATGGGGGCCCCCGCGCCGCGTGCCCTTGGCCTTTCCTCTTGTGACCTCGCCATTCAGGGTTCAGGCGGTTTAGTGGCGGTTTATGCGGATCCTAAACCCGAAACCCGAAACCCTAAACCTTCAAGCTTAAACCCTATATAAACCCTAAACCCTAACCCTTTTGGTTTCGTGGTCGCAGCTTGTAAGCTATGCAGGGTGTATGGTTTAGCGTCGCTATCAAAAAGCCATGACGGTCCCCAAGTATCCCAAATCTCGTAATTAAACCCCAAACAAGGTGAAGGGCCGAAACCCGGCGGCGGCCGCGGCGGACTCGACGCTGAGCGGCGGCAAGACACTTTGTGAGGAGGTTTCTCGCGCTCGTCGTGTTCTGACTTCTGCGCCGGGCAGTGACTCTACGTGGGCCGCCCTGATCTCGAACGCAGGCCTCCGGTGCCACGTCGGCCGTTGCCGCCCGCGATCTTGCTTGCCAGCCCGACGACCTCCCCGCCTCACCACAGCGACCGTGGCGGGGCCTTTTTGCACGACACGCGCCATGGTAGCGTGCCAGGGCTCAGCGGCATGCGGGTTGAACATTTTTAAGTGTTGCTGCAGGACCAGGAGGGCCTCGCATGGCGCACACTGCTACATCCCTTGCAAGGCCCGAGACGGTGTTGCATGGTTTCGCCCTAGCACGCCAGACGTTGCAAAAACCAGCCGGTGGGGTCCACGGCATTGCTACGATTCCGGCTCTTGCAAAACAGTGGTCCCGTTGGCAGCAAGATGGCACACTTTTCTTTCCGCCGCCAACATTTGGGGATTTCTCAAGGATGCCCATTGTCCCTGTTCTCTTTCCGTGACAAAGCGGACGAGACCGTGACAGACCAAAACCCCATGAAGCGGACGAGCCCAAAACCCCGGACGAGACCGTGACAGCCCAAAACCCAAAACCCCGAGAAGCGGACGAGACCGTGACAGCCCAAAACCCCGAGAAGCGGACGAGAGCGTGACAGCCCAAAACCCTAGAAGCGGACGAGACCGTGACAGCCCAAAACCCCGAGAAGCGGACGAGAGCGTGACAGCCCAAAACCCTTAGAAGCAGACGAGACCGTGACAGCCCAAAACCGTGACAGCCCAAAACACCCCAAAACGCCGAGAAGCGGACGAGACCGTAACAACCCAAAACCCTTAGAAACCACGGACTCGTCCACATCTAGTTTGGGCTGTCGCGGCCTCGTCCCCTACAGGGGTTTTGGGCTGTCACGGTCTCGTCCGCTTCTAGGGGTTTTGGGCAGTCACGGTCTCATCCGCTTCTCGGGGTTTCGGGCTGTGGACGAGACCGCGGCAGCCCTAAACCACCAGAAGCGGACGAGACCGCGCAATGGCGCTGAAGCGCCGTCCGTAGGGTGAGGAATGCCGCACTTGCGTATGCCGGCTCGCAGGACACGTGTGTGTCATCGAGCAACGCATTTGGCCCAAGTTCGCGTGTGCCTGTTTGCGCAAGCAACAATTTCTGCTTGGATCATGGATGGTACTGTCGCAACAGTTGCTGAAGCTGGATTAATTCTGCACACCTTTCGCCAAGTAGCACGACGTCAGTACAGCGCTGCGCACAAAAGCAGGGCCTGAGGCTGCAGCAGTTTTCAAATTGTGTCCAGAAAGTAACCGGCAAACAAATTTTGGTTTACGTCGACCCAAGTGACAAAGTGATATGATCCACTCCGCCGTTTTGCAGCCTGTCAGACTAATATTGCTGGAGCAACAAGTTCCCGCTGCAAGCCAGTACGTACAAAACTTTGCGAATGTATAGACCGAGTCGTGCCAACGCTCAAGACCGTCCCCGTCCCCCGTGTCTTCCTAGGACCGTGGTCCATGAGTTGCACGAACAGTCTGACGCTTGGACTGTTTCACGTGGACCCGAACGGGCGAAAGCGAAAACGAAGCCCACCAGCACCAAAAGGTCCCGGCCGGTGGGAACAGCTCGATGCCGTCGACCTAGCGGAGGAGTTGTGTCACCCGGTGCAGGACACGCTGCCTTGCATGCACGCTGCAGTGCGGCAGGTTTTCGCGCAAGCTCAACGAGCTCCGCGCAGCCACTGCGTGTTGCCCCACGGCCTCCCAGGTCGGTGCGGCTCGAGCGGCGCGGGCCTGGATGCCACGCATGCGGCTGACGCGGGCAGCGCAACAAGGTTCCCAAGAGCGAGCCGAATTGCGCGCCGCAGCATTCCAACGTGGCGACGTCACGGACCGCCTGTCCCGGCAGCGCCCCGGCCCACAAGCCGGAGCTGCCGCCCGATGCCGCCCGACGAGGTCTCAGAGCAGCAAAATCCGCTAGGGTGAGCTTTCACGGCCCGCCAAGCGCTGGCTGCGGCGGAGCTCGCGCTTGGCACGGAGGCCATCGGAGGCCACGCGGCGCACGCTGACCGACCCAGAGCGGCGTTTTCCGCAGCCACGCTCGCCAACACCTGCTACGAACGGTAGCGCCCGGTCGAGCTCGCAGCTGGACCTATGGCCACGGCGCTGCGCGAGGCAAAGCGCGGGGGCGCCACGGGCCTGTAGGGCATGCGGGCAAAGCACGTGAAGCTTCCACTCCAGGATGCACAAGCAATGGACCTGCTCGGTTATCCCGCCGCCCTTGATCCTGCTGGTACGCGTGTGCGGGGCACCGTGACAGACGACGCCTTTTGCCGCCTCGTCGCCCCCACGCTCGCCAAGCAATGGGCGACCGTGTTTGACGAAGCCATACGTCCATACCAACTTGCCCTGCAAGCGCGAGCGGGCGCGGATGCACTCGCAGCTCACGTGCGGGTCGCCTTCGCCCAACGCAAGGATGCAGGACTGATGCAGGCTAAGTTGTAGATTGTCATCATGTACTTTGCATTACTTTGCAAAAACCAATGGTCTTGCGGAACTGCTCCAACTTCAATCTGGGAAGCGTTTTTGTGAGCAGGTCAGCGTTGAACTCGGTTCTTTGTCTATACGCAAGGCCTTTGATGCCGCGTGGCGGGAGGGATTTCTCGTACGGCTTTGGCATGCTGGTTTGCCTCCTAATTTGTGGCTCCTGGATGATGATTTCATCTCAGCTCGCACTGCATCTGTGCGTGTTGTAGCACACGTGGGATGATGCAGGAGCATGCGTAGGTGCGGAGCTGCAGGATGAGGTCATTCAGAATGAAGCGATGGCGCGCGATGTCCTGTCTAAAGATATCAGATGTGTCGGCGGTCAGAAGGATTCCAACTTCCTCTCGACGGACCCAGATGTGGATGTTTGGATACGATTATCATGGAGGTATAGTTAGAATCACGAACTTGACACGTCCGAGACCAAATCTCTGCAAGCTGGTCAAAGCATTTCTTCAACAGGAGCCTCCCGACCTGACGTATGCTTCATTTCAGATTGCAGTTGACGCCACGCTGGCGCCGCACCGTGATGTTACAGCACACTCGCCTTTGCCTCGTTACGCTCTACCATGAACAGTGACACGCCCATCCCCGCGCCCTCTTCACCCACGCCCGTGCCACGGTCGCCCGATTCCCCGCGCTTCGAAGCCCGTGCCACGGTCGCCCGCTTCGGAGATGCGACGCTTCCGGCGGCCACGTGCCCCGTATGTCTCGAGGAGCCATCCCGGCCGCCCGGGGCCGGCGACTCGCTATCCGCTATCCCATGCTGCTGTGCCTTCGCGCGCCGTCGCGCCTGCCCTGCATCTTGCAATGTTTGCATCACCACGGGCAAACCCCCAACTGCGGAAGAGAGTTGGCTTCGTTGTTGCACGACCGCCGCTTCGCAATGCTATGTGCGCCTGCGGGCGTGCGGCGTGCCTATGGCAGCCACACCGCTCGACGGGGGTTCTCCGGCTCGCCAAGCGTGCGGGATTACAGCATCCGCACGTTCTGCCCGGACGCGCCGGGAAGCGCGGCGTGTGGGCCATTTGTTGCGCTCGAGTTGCGGGTGGGTTTCGTCGAAATGCCCGACTGCCGCACGCAATGGTCACCGGTCCCGCACCGGGGCGAGGGAGGCATCGCGACTTGGACCG